AGAATAGTTTTTCCTCTTGTCTTTTATATATATATATATATATATATATATATATATATATATATATTCCTTAAGAAAGAGAAAGAACAGATGGAGTTAGAATGCACAGTTCTTAGCATTTATTTTTTAAAAATGTGATCAATACAACGTAGAGCAAAATATTATTAAAATATTTTTATTATGATAGATTACAATAAAAACATTTTACATCGCTACACAAAAACTTTCATGTTTCGGAACTATAATCTTTCTTCTTCGGGTGATGGTAGGTAACATAATAAAAATGATTTATTTGGGAAATTTGAAAACAAACCGTTACCTCATTTGAAAGTTAAAATTGGGGAGATTAATGTCTGAATTAAAAAAATATACTTGTGGGCATGTCTGGATTAACCAATTAAAAGTCAGATCTAAGCTAAAATAGAAAAATGAAAAATAAAGTCAGAGGGTGGAGGGAGGTGGGTTATTAATTCATGTCTTAATAAATTGACACTCTAGACAAGTCAGCGGCGAACATACTGTAGACAAATGCAGTTCAGATTTGGTGAAGTAGACAATGAGTTACCTTAGAAAAAATTATTTTTTATTTTTAAGAATTTTTCAAATTTTTTTTATACTACGGAAACTTCTTAAAGGGACCGAATATGTAAAGTTAAAAGAATTTTTTATGGAACTTTAATATACGATGCTAATTAAATTGAATGGGTAGTAAAACAAGGCAATATTAAAATTGAAAAAATCAAATAAAAATTGTGTGGACCATTATATACTTATAAATTAATGGCTATGTAATTGTAATGCGTAAAATATTTATGAAAAATTCTTTTAACTATATTTTAATGTCAAATTTATACAATGCCTACATACTACCGTTAATTCATTTCTTTGGTTTAGGAGAACTTTATTTTTAGGAAACTTTATAAAATGCAGCTTTTCTTGTAAATACAGGGGACATGGGTCATATAAGGATTTACAGAGTCTCATTTTTAACAAAATATTTTTCATTTTACCGTAGGAGTTTTGATAATATCTTTTAAATGCGAAAATATAGAAAGGGATGTTCGGTTACGGTAGGCACTGTTTTTGAAAGAAGATATGTGCTGATACAACCTCAGTTTAAAGGAATTTTTTGTACTGACAATATAAAATTTCTTAACTGTTGGATTCTCTCTCTCTCTCTCTCTCTCTCTATATATATATATATATATATATATATATATATATATGAAGAAAATATCTGGAAAAACAAACAAAAATCCTTAGAATGTGATTATGTTGTTTTAATTATGAATGAAATGTCGACGTCTGACGTTTCGGTTTAATAACCTTCTTCAGGACAATATTCTGTCGGATTTATATCCATTTATATTTGCTAACATATATATATATATATATATATATATATATATATATATATGTGTGTGTGTGTGTGTGTGTGTGTGTGTGTGTGTGTGTTAGAGAGAGAAAGCTTAATGGTTGAAAGAGTTGTTTATTTTCTACCGGTACCTGCTGTAGGTAATCAAGTCAGGTGTTCCAATATTCTTCTTCAAAGCAGGTAGACGCTTCCATTCTAGCAATATTACGCTATTATTGCCTATCATTTCCCTTTACTTATACCAAATTGATCAAAGTAAACCTCTTTACCAAGAGGGAGAACCATCGGTCATATGTTCTCCACTCCTGTCTACAGATCATAATAAGAATAAGATAAATAACGCATTGCATGATTATCCAAATACTAAGAAATTTAATTCATCGCATCTAGCGTGTTCATTTCGCAAAACACTTTTTTATGTGCCGTGTCCTTGCAGAATGTGAGCTATCATACCTCTTCATAGCTTCCTATCTTTCGTAGCTCAAAGCAATGTTTACTATCCCTCCAGCGTGTTCGTTTCGCAAAATATTTTTGTATGTGCTGTGTCCTTGCAGAATGTGAGCTATCATACCTCTCCATAGCTTCCTATCTGTAAGCAATGTTTATCTTCTTACTATCCCTCCTAATCTCTGTTCTGTTATCCGTTTGCATAAGCTCTTTTGGTAAGTCATTAA